AAAAAAAAAAAAAAATTCACTGAAGCCAAACACAGCCTCTCCCAAAGTTACCTAGTACAGTGATGCCAGTGGGTTTCTCGAACACTTAACTTAGTGGGGTAAGCCTGTACCACAAGGGTCCTGTCCTCCCAAAAAATAATTCTGGATTTTTTTTGGTGGGTACACTCTCGTACATACAAAAATGCATATATTTGCTTTGAAACTTGAAAATAGAAGTAAAATGTAACACAATATGAATTTAGTAAACTTTTGGCATTTTACATATGAATTTGCTGGTAGTGTTTAATCTGACTGACTTTATGCAACAAAAATAGGCATGTATATATACATAGATCATCAATGTTTATTTCATAATCAATATTATCAAATATTTATTTATAAAGTCATTTTTTTCTAGTTTAGACACAACCAGCATTGGGAACCAGTTTTTTTCCCATTTTGAATGATTTCTTAATATTGAAATAGCAATTCTTTACTCACTTAGCTATTCATGTTAGTTGAAAATACACTGGTATGTACTATTAACTCATTTGTATTAATGAGTTTTGAGTCTATTTTATAACTATATCAAAATGGTATTTTAATAGATATCAACCTTTTCAAACAAAAGAAAATGGTGAATGTCATTTAGAATCTTAAGCTGCAACTAAGCAATGTCAAATGTAATTTACTCTGTAGATGTGTTCATACTTTTAGAAATAAATATCAAAGGCTGAATTTAGCCATGCAGTCTTTCAATCTTATATTCTTGTGTGCTTTTCAATGTAAGTCTTCAGGAATTTAGTAGAGTAGTCCATTAAAATGGAGAAGATACTTGCCATTTATACCAACTGGTACATACAACTTGACCGAGCAGAGGTGATTGACATATTCATACAATTTATCTTTCCATCTCTAATGGAGGATAAGGATTTGTCTAGTCAAAGAAATATGTTCAGAGTTTGGGGATGAAAGAGAGGTGTGTGTGTGTGTGTGTATTTTCAGGTTGCTGGAAGGATAGTGGGGTGAAGTAGGGTTCCAGCAGTAGGGTACCTGAAATCAGACTCCACAATACTCAAGTTTCCTCTAAGGCAAAGCCAATCCAATAGACTAAAAAATAAACTAAACTTAGAAGAATGGTTTTGAGTCTCCTACGAGACACAGCTTCTACAGAAATTGGAAAGCTGATCTGTGTTTCTGAATCTGCAGAAACCTCTCCATGCAGAATAATGGCTTCAAAGGGGAAAGTCATCGTAGGTCTCTTCAGACATGGACAAATCCTGTTTTAACACACGCATGTGTAAAATAAGGGTACACATTTAAACTAGGTCCACAGATATCAGGTGAAAAAAGGTGGCAACCGGACATGTACGAAATGCACATGTGGTCAAAGGGAGAATGCCAGGCTTCCTCTAAGGCATTAAACGCAAATAATAAAACAGACATCACTGTGCAGGTCAAATAACACAAAGCCCATAGGCTGCCAGCTTCCACTCTCTAGTCTACAGGGCCACAATTTTGAGCCCTTTCCATGAGCTCATGCCACACCCAGATATTCTCCTCAGAGCAGAGTATGGTCCACGCCACGACAATCTGATAGTAATTTTGTTTTCTAAGAGCAGGTGTAATTGTCAGTACTGACATGTTCATGTCACATTCTACTCTGGTACTCTGAAATCTTCTCCATCCTTGACTTTTTCATCTGGTAACAAAACGTGGCATTGGGTTGCTTCCCCTTCAGGAATAAATACTCTTCTATTCTTTCTGTTGTCAACCTCTTATTTGAATACAACTGTTAGTTTTACCAAAACAAAACAAAAAGCTAGGAAAAGCAGGGTTTTTAAAAATCAATATTACCATTAAGCTCAACCTATTAGAATACTCATTTCCTATTTTTTAAGGACCAAAAAAAAACCAAAAAACGATTTTCTTTTTAGCATAGGATAGCACCAGATCCTCATATAAATGTAGCCAAATCAGGGTGACTCTCCTCTTTCTTTTGGGTTCAAACGTCTTCTGTGGTATCCATGTTTGGCCGAAATCACAGCGGACCATACGTTTAAAAATAAAACTTAATAAATGCTTAGTCTCTGGAAATCTTAAAACAGGAATTATCAAATTAATTTAGTGTGAAACCACCAATTCTTAGGCTTATTACATTCACAAACATGTCTTAAACTAACTGGTAATTCTTTAAAAGACAGTTTTTCTGTTGTTAAAATGTAAATGGCAGAATTATCTAGTGTTTTATCTAGGAAAATAATTTTGAAACTCATTCTGAAAAATTACCAAATATGCATAAAAATTTTAATTTTAGTGAAGCCAAAAACAGTAAGAGATAAAAATAAAAAAGGACAATAGTAATAAATCTTTATTGAGTTTTTTTAACAAAATAATTTTTAAAAACAAAAGACCCCACATGTAAACAAGAAAAGTAAATAAGTTAGATGACGTTATTAGGTACATCCAAGAATCAAAACATGTTCTGGTAAACATTCCATCATCCAGTAAAATGTTTTGATCCATTACTGTTCAGAGAAACTATGTATTTAATACTATCAATAATGAAACCTCATCTTTGAACTTTATAAAATGGCTTAGGAAAAACTATAAAGTTTAAACTCTGTAAACTAGAGTTCAGCTTTTCATTCCTCCCAGCAATCTATATGTCACGTTTACTAGTGCTAAGATGTATTTTACTTTGCCAACATTAGCCCAAAATGTCCATCACCCCAAATGAACCAGGTTATGCATGCCTCATCCAGAGGTTTTATGTGGAATGTGTTAGAACCCACATATTATAGCATCATGTTTCAAAACTAGCCTAATCCTAAATTCTATTTCTAACTAATCTGGTACTCCATTTTCTCTCACTCTGTATACATACATTAAATACCATAGCAACTTTACTTTAAAAAATACTAATACACATTTAGACAGTACTTTCAAAAAAAAATTACAGCTTATTTGCCAAAAAATGTTACTTTTTATTTTAAAAATTTAGTTCGAGTATTGTCATACTAGTAGTACTTAACCGAGAATAATGGCTTCAATTTAATGTTCGATATACTTAATACAGTTCTAAATTAAACAGATTACATTATAATTCATATGGAGAAAATTTCACTTCTTAGAAGGCCAAAATTTACTGTTTTATTACTATCAAATGTTATTAGTTCGTTTTCTGTTTTTTTGCTAATTATATTCAATTCACTTTAAAAGCTTTAGAAAAGAGCCTGGATAATCTTCAGTGTGGCCTCAATTCTAGTTTAAAATTTATTTCTTCTCTGCCAGTCAAAATAATATAAAGATGTGCACAATACGTCTGTGCTGTTTTAAGGCAGGTGCCAAGCACATTTAGAAAGGTAATAAACTTACCAACTAGAATGTTCTCCCAAAGGAAAGAAAAGAAAAGCTTATGACAGTTTTTGTTTAAGACAGATGTTTAAATAGCACTCTTCTTTAGATCATTTAAAAATAATTTGGTAGCTGAACTGCCTATGGTCATATCACATAAACGCTACAAAAGACAAGCCACAGATACAGAATTAATGATACACTTTTAATATTTTTACAAGTCTCTTTAAGTTGGTGCCCAGTGGCGTTTAACAAGGTGTTTCTATTCAGTGTAAAAAGATTTAGAGCATAAACTGACACTAAGTAAGGAATATAATTTCTCTGTGCCATGCAGAAAAGAAGTCAACTTTTTACACATCATCACTTCTCAATAGTTCTCATTAAAATCCAAACTGTTCCCATTTTTGCATCATTGTCATTCTTTGGCAAAAGATTCAAAATAGCCATGGGTTGGAAAACAACTGTTCACTCGTGGTCTTTATTTTTTGCAAAATAAATGTGTTTTGTAAAAGGAATCTGTGCTGTGCCTGCTTTATCCTACATATTTATAAGTAGGCAAAAATAATCTTTTAAAAAATTTTTTTATTAATCTACTCCTAGAGCTTTGAGCTGCCGTTCGATCTCTTCATCGGAGATTGTAGCCTTTGAAGTGGAGGCAGAGGGTAAGCTTCGGGCAGCCGATGGAGCCTTGGCCATCTACAGCAAACAAAGGAAAAAGGAACAGTATGTGTGTTAGCAATGTCAGGGATAGGACACAAACGGTATGCCGTAAAGAGGTCTAATTTATTTTTGAAACAAATACAAAACATGCTCCTAGAAGTATAAACGACTTAAAACAGTTAAGTGACAAAAGTGGTACGCAGAAACTATTTCCAACTGAGAAGAAAAGATATTCCTACCTTTCCAGAGATTTCGATTCCAATTTCATCCAGAACTTGATTGACAATATCTTGGCTTTCTTCTTCATCATCAGAGCCATCAAAGATGTCATCAAGTGTATCATTGACTGGGGAATGAGGGAGAGGGACCAAAGCGGTTACTGTCAAACAAATTTCAGGCTCGTTTACATATTTAGAATCTAGCCCACCTATATGTATATATTTTACATATTACAGAAGGCAGATTTAGTGAACAAAAGAACTATAAAAGTCACTTTAAAATGTAAGTGAAGTATACTGACAGATGCATTTTCGAGCCACTAAATCTGGAATAATGTTTACTTCAACACAAAGTATTCTATAGTAAACAAATCTACTCTGATTTTTTGAAAAATTACATCTCACTGACCAAAACTATTGATAGTCACAGCTACAGGCTTAAGATTTTTAAATATGATTCTACAAATCGTATCCATTAAGCTAGTAGCTGTTAAACCTAACCAGGGAAGAATATGTATAATCTTGTTAATATCTGGGGACAATTTACTCTTTTTATACCTATAATCATATTTTTAAACTCCTTAAATTTACAGTCAAGATATAGAGAGAATATTCTAATGAAAGCTAAGGGTCACTATTTTACCAAATTTGCCCAGAGAATGATGCCCAGCTTAACAGGATTATGACTGCTAGAACCCTTCCTTACTTCCTTTCCTTCCCAAGATGTTTACTGAAAGCAGTCCGTAAGGTGGTGTCATGCTGCATTGTGGGCAGAGTCTTTGAAGGCTTGAGGTTATATCTTATTTACCTTTGAAACTGGGAACCTAAGTAGCTGGCATGAGATACAAATATATGGATGCACAGATGGAAAAAGATGAAGATTTCAGTTAGTTTCTACTTGAGAACAAACAAAAATAAACAGACTGTGGCAAATGGAAAAGTAGGGGACCATGAAGTTTCAGAGGGAACTGGGAGGCAGTCACATGTGAAGTGGTCCTGGAGGGACATGTGACCCTGGTGATCTAGTCAGATACTACTTTATACACTAAAACTACCAAATGCTATAAACTAACATGCTAGCAGATAAGCAGAGCTAAATCAGCATATCCTACATAGTTGTAGAACAATTAGAACACACGTTTTCAAAATAATGATGCCACCTTTTCATATATAATATACCTAACGATTCAGTGTTAAACAGGGTGCTGTGATGGGTCAGTCATTCATTAATGATGAAATAAACATTGGCGTAATCTTTCTGGGAAGAATTAGTAGTATGATCCAAAGCCCTTATAAAAGTTAATATTCTGGCCAGGAATGGTTGCTCACACCTGTAATCCCAGTACTTTGGGAGGGAGAGGTGAGAGGATCACCTGAGCCCAAGGGTTCGAGATCATGCTGGGCAACTTGGTGACACCTCGTCTACACAATAAATTTAAAAAATTCGCTGGACATGGTAGTGCGTGCCAGTAGTTCCAGCTACTTGGAAAGCTGAGGCCTGAGCCCAGCGGGGTGAGGCTGCAGTAGCCATGATCATACTACTGCATTTTAGCCTGAACACTTAAACTTAGCTAAAAAAAAAAAAAAGTTAATATTCTAAAAAGATTTAAGAAATTTATTCAAAGTAATACATAATCATATTTCTCAAAGGATTATCAAATATAATGAAAACTTTAAAACAAACTTATTGACCAACGTAAGAATGTTTTGATTAGGGTATACTGATGCTTTGTGATATTAAAGATATTTTTATAAAAGTCTACAGAGAAGACTTAATAAGGTCATGAGCACAGGCTTATGTTATACTATTATGTTTTTTTAAAGGCAGGATAAGACTCATACATGTAACATGATCTTACTTTTACAAAATATGAGTCAACACAGGAAATAAATGTATAACACTAACAGTAACTACATCTGGTTGGTGTGATGATTTTTATATGCTCTGATTGTTTGTAGTCTCCCTGTTTCCACCATAACATGTAATTCATTTATATTCAATAAGAAAAAAAACTAACAGCAAATGACTCCTGTGATGAGGAAGAAAAAAACCCCAACAAGAAAAAAGGAGATTCATTATCTCTACCTCTAACAGAAACAGATCTTCTGTAGTATAAAAAGTCAACATGACTGTGAAACTACCTTACTTATACCACAAAGAGCTATTTAAATCACAAGTTGGCTTTTGTACAGTCATCAATAAAGCCAAACTGCTGAAGCCAATGTGTAATAGAAATATGGCATAATGTATTTTATAGTTTTTCTGCAGTCAAATGCTAAGAGAATTTTGAGCCTTACATGCTGTTAATTTAAAGATACATTGATGCTACAATATAAATATCTCTGAGGTTGCTCTATTAGTTTTTTGTTTCATCTTTGATGATACTATGAGATTGCTAGTAAATAAACTTGGCTAAATAAAGATGAGAAAACTATACATTCCTTACAACAGATTAAACTTACTCATTTCTTCAGTCATTTCCATCTTCATGTTTTCCTTCTGGAAATTCTGCATTGTTTGTAATGTCTTTTGTGGATCCATCTTCTTGTTAACAGCCTGCATTGTCTTTAATTGTATTGAAAGACTCATGTTAGTGCCATCATTCTGAAAATGTTACTACAGGATAAGTCAAAGGGAACATATACAATATAGACAGACTTTTAAAAAACAACCAACAACAAAAAAGGAGGTTCATTATCTCTACCTCTAACAGAAACAGATCTTCTATAGTATAAAAGAGTCAACATGACTATGAAACTACCTAACTTATACCACAAAGAGCTATTTAAATCACAAGTTGGATATCTTTTAAAAGTCATCCACCCTGCCATAACCAGACAGTGTTAAGTATTCTAGGAAAAGAGTGAAATAGTCATTGAAAACCATCTGCTTAACATCTGTATAATGAAGACCAATGTGAAACGCCTCATTAAAATAATAGGGAAAAGTATGTAATACAAAATATTGTCAAAATAAAAGTCACTGCTATTCAAATAGAGAAATTAAATTTACCTGTTAGTGGCAAGTGGGCAATGTCAATCAATTTTTTAAAAATTTTAATTTAATGTATGTAAAAATTTTCATCAAATTTTTAATGTCAAAATTAAAAAGAATCAGAGGATATACTAGCATACATACTTAATCGATTAACACATTTAAAACCATGGTCTAAGAAAATAAATAAAGCTGAGTTTTCAAAAATTATGTGGAAACAATTACTTTACATTATATACTCACAACTTAATTCATTAAGAGAGACTAATGCTGACTAGTATGGCCACGATTCATCTACAAGTGTGTGCTACATACCTACGCTTTGGTTGATGAGAGGCAATATACAGGTAGTTGCACCTTTCTGATTTTTTCATTGAAATTTTCTAAGTTACCTTTCCTATGTTTAGATATGTTTAGATACATAGACACCTACCATTGTGTTACAACTGCCTACAATATTCAGTACAGTGCACTCTGGGAGCGACAGGCTACAATATACAGCCTAGTTGCGTAGAAGGCCAGACCATCTAGGTTTGTGTGAATACACTCTGTGATGACCACATAACTGCAAAATTGTCTAAGGATGAATTTCTCAGAATATATCCCTTTTGTTAAGTGAGGTTTGACTGTATTTATATACCTGCATATAGCATTTTCCTAATAGGCCTTGTACTTTCCTCTGTGGCTTTTTTTTTTTGCTCTTCATATCCACACTCCCTCTACATCTAACACCTAGTGGGTTTTTTTTTAATACCTATGCCTTCTGTGTGTTCAAAGATCTGCACAGTTCACAAAGTTTAGCACAGGCTGATGTATATAGTAGGTAGTTTCCTACTGAGAGATATCTTAAGCTCCCTGTAATTAAACTAAAACTTGTCTTAAACCGCTTTTGATAACTCGCAGCATTTGACACATACATCAAGATGTTCATTATTTATTAAATGACTGACAGACTCAGACTTCCTTAAACTCTAAAGTAAAAACATTGATATTGTGTGTGTGTGTGTGTGTGTGTGTGTGTGTGTGTGTGTGTGTGTGTGTGTGTTTGTATGGAGTAAGTTAAGTTCCAGAAAAATACTGATAAATCCTTCTGACAGTATTCATGCATCCTTCTGGCACATTCATAACAAGGAATCAAGAAAAAGTTATTACTTAAAAGTAGTCAGAACTTATTGCTTAATGAAATAAACTCAAAAATCTACTGACAACTTGAGGGGAAAAAAGCAAATACTTTTTAAAGTCAATTTTATAAATTTAGAAGGTACATAAGAAAATTGAAATGTTCTAAAACAAAACATTTTGTTATTAAAACATACAAGTAAAGAATCTAGAAGCATTTACCTGGATTATCTAGTATTATAACTCATTTTACTAAAAATTACATACACTGTATATCATATATATACCAAGAGTGCTTTTAAATCTGATTTGAATATAGATACTTAAGTATCTTTGATAAAACTACAAATATATGGATATAAAGGCTCCCACTTACTTTTGCTGTGGTCGACATTGCTCCAGCCATCTTCATTTGGGAATTCATCACTTTTGTTTGTGTACACATAGATGTGACCTTTGAACTCACAGCAAAAGTTCTTGTTTTCTGCTTCCGTAGATGTACAAGCTGTTTGGCTAAAACTCTGCAAGCTTCTTTATTACCAATCTTAGCCATTTTCTTAATTTCTAGTTCCTAAGAAAGGAAATAAAAGGAAGAGAACAAAATCACTGAGGAGTAGCCCTCCATAACTTATTTCAGAAGAATAGATCAAATATACAAAATATACCCTCTCCCCTGGTCATAAAGAGGGGACAAGTCTACCACGAAGTCATAGAGAGAAAGAGTGGTCTGAGAGGATAATTCTTTCCACATGTTTACATGGAAACAAGAGAACTAGTACCTTCATCCATATATACAAAGCAAGTCTACAAAACGGTGCACACATCAAGCCGAAAAGAAAAATTTTCTTAAAAAAGACTTAATAGCTGGGCTCAGTGGCTCAGCCTGTAATCCCGTGCTTTGGGAGGCTGAGGTGAGTGGATTGCCTGAGCCCGCGGGTTCGAGACCCATTTGGGCAACTTGGCGAGACCTTATCTCTACAATAAATCAAAAATTAGCCAGGTGTGGTAGCACGCGCCTGTAGTTCCAGTTACTTGGGAGGCTGAAGTGGAAGGACCGCCGGAGCCCAGCAGGTCGAGGCTGCGGTGGCTGGGAGTGGCCACTGTACTCTAGTCTGGGCAACAGAGTGAGGCTCCACCTCAAAAAAAAAAAAAAAAAAAGACTTAATAAAAAACAAAATAACAAATAGGAAAGAAAGAACAAACAAATAAGAAAAATGTTGGTGGGAAACAGAGCAAATAAAAGAACAACGTGGTAGATTTAAAAATAATACAGGTAATTACATTAAATAAATAGTCCACCTTATACCTCAATTAAAAGGTAGACTATCAGATTAGATTAGAAAACTTACCCAATTATATGTTATCTCAAGACACGAACTTTAAATATAAACATAAAACCAGGTAAAATGATGGAAAAATATATAATATATCAATACTTAAATCTACAAATCTGGAGTGGTTATATTAATATCAGGCCAAATAAACTTGAGAATAAGAAATATTAGCAGAAATAAAAGGGGTATTTCATAATGATCAGGGAATTAATATGTAAAGATATCAAGACAATTCTAAAGGTATATGCACCTAATAAAAGTGCTTCATAATATATAAAGCACAACAGAAGAACTCAAAGGAAAAATAGACATAATTAGCATAAGAAAGATCAACAACTCCTCTCAAGTTATGAGTAGACAGAAAATCTGTAATGGTACAAAGAGTCAAAAGAACACTATTACTGACTTGACCTTACATAAGAAACTCCATTGCTGAAAGCAGAATATTCATTCTTTTCAAGTATACACTAAACAATCACCAAAATATTCCATGTTTTGCATCAGAAAACAGAGCTCAATACATTTTAGAGGACTAAAACCATATAACATAGGTTCTCTAATCACATAAAATTAAACAGGAAATTAACAAAGAAAATATTGAAGGAAAATCACAACTAAGCAGAAATTTTAAAACACAGTTCTAAATAAGCCATAGGTTAATGGAAAAAAGTCACTGAGAAAATGAACTTAATAAAATGAAAATGCAACATATACAGATTTGTGATTTTCAGTTCAAACAGTTCTTAGAAGAAAACATATAGCATTAAAGCCCATATTTGAAAAAAAATGAATATCTCATGAGCTTCAACATAAAGTAGAAGATAAAGCAAATGACAACAAAAGCAAAAAGAAACAAATAAGATAAATAAGAAATTTATAAAGTAGGAAAGAAAAACTAGTGCAGAAAAATCAATGAAGCCAAAGCTATTTTATGTATATGTATATAAAAATCAATCAAATTGATAAAACACTAGTCAGGCTGATGAAAAAATCAACAAGACAAATAAAGAACATACAAGTTGCAAATACTGAGAATACAAAGGTCATCACTTTATGCTATAAAGTTGTTAAAGAATTATAAGGGAGTATTATAAACAACAATCTATCATTAGATTTCAAAATTCAGTAGAAAGGACAGATTGCTTGACAGACTTAAGCTATCAAAACTCATTCAACAAGACAGACAACATAAACCACTCTATATCTATTTAAAAACCAATGTATAGTTTAAAAACCTACTCACAAGGAAAGCTTCGTTCACAGATGCCTGAACTGATCCTATCACACATTTAAGGAAGAACTACATACCTTTCAGTAAAGTAAAAGTTGTGTGACCCTTGCCAACTCATGCTATGAGGCCTGTATATTACTCTGATATCCAAATAAAAATACTACACAAAACTACAAATCAATTATCTTTCATAAACATAGATGCAAATATTCTTAAAACTATAGCAAGTTGAAAATATTTTCAAAAAAATACATCATTATCAAGTGAGATGTAACCCAGGAGTAAAAGGTTGATTTAACTTTTGGTAATCAGTCAGTATACTATACTAACAGACAAAAGAAGAAAACTATACAATCATTTCAATAGATGTAAAAATACCCTAACCAACCAACTAACCATTTGGCAAAACTGCTTCCTGATAAAAACTGTCAGTAAACAAAATAAAAAGGAACTTCCTCAACCTAGAAAAGGGCACCTACAAAAGTCTATAATTAATATACCTAATTGTGACAGACTGCATGTTTCCTCCTAAAGATCAGTAAAAAGATAAAGAAGTCTGCTCTCACCCATCTACTCAACATTGTGTGGAAGGTTCTAGTCAGTATAAAAAGGTAAGGGAAAGAAAAGAGCAAAAGGTTTCAAGATTGGAGAAGATGATTTAGTTTTATTTATTCATGATGATATGACTATGTAGATATCTCATGGCATCTTTCTTCATAAATGAAATTTTATGAAAATTACAGGATTCAAGATAAATACACAAAAATTTAATGTATCTATATATCTACTAGCAACAAAAAATTAGAAGTTGAATTTGTTCTTAAAATATCACTTAGCATCAAAAATTTGAAATACTTTAGGGATAAATCTGACAAAACAAGTACAAGACATTTATACTTACAAGTACAAAACACTACTGAGAAAAACTACAGATCTAAATAAATGAAGATATAATACCTTCATGGGCCAGAAGATTTAGTATTGTTAAGATGTTAATTCTTCCCAAATTGGCTTACATATTCAATGTAATTCCAATCAAATCTAATCTTTTTCACTGAAAGGAAAAAACAAATAGCCCCATTAAAAAGTGGGCAAAAGATATGAATCGACACTTCAAAAGAAGATATACAGGCAGCCAACAGACACACGAAAAAGTGCTCAGCCTCACTCATGATCAGAGAAATGCAAATCAAAACCACATTGAGATATCACCTAACCCCAGTAAGAATGGCCATCAGTAATAAAACAAAAAACAACAGATGCTGGCAAGGATGTGGAGAAAAAGGAATGCTTCTGCATTGCTGGTGGGAATACAGACTAGTACAACCTCTTCCGAAGACAGTGTGGCGATTCCTGAAAGAACTAGAAATTGACCTTCCACATGACCCAGCAATTCCCCTATTGGGAATATACCCAGAGGAACTCAAATCTTTCTACAAAAAAGACAGCTGCACACGTATGTTTGTTGCAGCTCTATTCACAATAGCAAAAACATGGAACCAACCATGTTGCCCATCAAAACTGGACTGGATAAAAAAATGTGGTACATATACACAATGGAATATTATGCAGTCATAAATGAGGACAAACATATGGACTTTGCAGCAACTTGGATAGATTTAGAGTCAATCATACTCAGTGATCTATCACAGAAGAAAGAACAGAGTACCATATGCTTTCACTCATAAGCAGACCTTGAACAATTATTATCATACTATAAGAAAGGGATGGGCAGTAGTGGAAAACTATCAGGGGAGGGGGATGGGATTGGTAGTTGAAGGAAACTGCTAGAGGAGGGAGGGGCATTCCTCATCAACAAGGGTACCTGTATAATCAACGTTTGTATTGTACCCCACATCTTTATAATAGAAAAAAATAAAAAATAAATGAGAAAGGGTGAAAAAAATTGACAAGTATACTCGAAAAGTCATATTTACAGTTAAACAAGTACCTAAAATAGACAAAAGAAGTATGAAAAAAGAAATACAAAGTTGAAGGTTAATGCTATCTAACTGTAAGACCCACTTTACAGTAGTAATGAACACACTGTAGTAGTGGCTTAAGAATAGTGACATTAATATAGATCAATGGAATAGCATGAGCCTAGAAGGACATCCACAATTAAAAAACATAGGAGAAAATGTTGGTGACTTTGGATTAGGCAAATATTTCTTAGGTAAGACACTAAAAGTACTAACCACAGGAAAAAAGCACAATGAATTGCACTTGATCAACAAAAAAGCAACAAAAAAAGAACATTTTGTTTCTCAAAAGACATATAGAAAAATGAAGAACATGACCAAGAACTTCAGAATATTTCCAAAACATACACTTACTAAAACACTTATATCTAGAATATATAAATAACTGCTACACCTAAATAACTAAGAAAACAATTTGATGGAAAAAAAAGGGTAAAATATTTGAACAGATCCTTTGGCAAAGAAGATATGTAAATGGAAAGAGGTACATAAAAAGATACTCAACATCATCAGTGATTAAGGAATTTTAACTTAAAATGACACTCTACAACACACCCGTTAAAATGGCTAAAACTGAAGACTGTCAATTCCAAGTATGTTGAACAATTGTTAATTCTTATACATCGCTAGTGAAAACAGAAAACATTACAGTCACTTTTCAAATTGTATAGTGCTTTCTTATATAGCTAAACATATCTTTACCCTATGATCCAGCAAATTCACTCTTAGGAATATACCCATGAGAAATCAAAATATATGGTCAAACACAGAATTCACTTGAATGTCTGCAGCAACTTTATAAAAAATAACCAAAACCTGGAAACAACCCAATGTCCACCAGCTGACAGATAAATTGTGAAACATTCACACAGTGAAATGACCCTCACCAATAATAAGTAATTAATACTGATCCACATAACAACAATGATTAACCTCAAAATAATTACGCTGAGTAAAAGAAGCCAGTATAAAAAAAAAGTTCATATTATATGATTCCATAATGCAAACTAACAAACGATGGCAGACCAGTTTTGCTTCACTGGGGAGAAAGAAGACAGGATGGGTAAGAGGGAATTTCAAGGGCTTAAGGAAACTTTGGGAGTGATGGATATGTTCACTACCTTGCCTGTGAAAATGGAGTTTATGCATATGTCAAAACCTTTCACATTGCACACTTTAAATATGTATAGCTTATTGCATGTCAATTATACCTCAGTAAAGTTGTTTGTAAAAGTATATGCATTGTCACAGACACAATGATCTTTAAAGTATCAAGTAAGACATCTACAAGGTAATGTAATTTTTTTAATAACCCTTCCTTGTTTTCCATGACTATTTTATCGTTGCTGTTAACTAACAAAAAGGTGGTTCTGTCCGCCGTCATATTTCTTCCTAGGCATTTATGACTTTCACAAACTGAAGAATAACTGACTCTATAATCAGCAGACTATACAGAATTCTTATAGAAGTTGGCAGAATGACACAATAAACCAAGGTAAGCAGAAGAGGCAGAAAGTCATTAAGTGCTGTTTCTTAGTCAAGTAAATCACTTGCCACCTGCCATGTGCCTTTTTCCTACTTAGCTAATTATTCCTACACTAATTTCCAAATTTGTCTGAAAAGTTACACTGAAATTTAATGTTCTACTCACCAGCTGTTTTTCTTGTTTCTCTAGAGCTGCTCGATCTCTGATTATGGCCCTCTGTGTACCACGTAACTCTCGGTTCTGCTCCTTTATGACATCTAAGAGAAGCACAAAAGAAACCGAAATGTATGGGCTGTTAACATTTTCAATACCATTTAAAATACTGGACTCACAGATCATGATTAAAAAGAGAAACCTAGATTTACTATATGTTAAATTAAAATTTTTATTTCAATTTAATATACTAAAAGAGTTAAATATTAAAATTTAGATGACAAATATTAATTATATAAAGAGCTGACAGAAAATGAGTACAAATATGCTAAGTCTGAGATTTAATCAAAAGGGTATATTAAATCACAGTAAAATACTCCCCTAGAGAACTGATTAGGATACAATGTTTTATATGGCACATATATATGTCACACGCACACACACCCTTTTCATCTCTCCCTACTCCAACACTTTCAGGAAGGAAAAGAGGTCACGTGTTTAGTAAATCTTTTTTTTTTCCTATAGTGAGGTATAACAGAGTGAAACAGAAGACTTTCCAATGAGGCAGACATGGACTTAAATTCCATTTCTGTCACTTGATCATTATATGATTATGTCTTAGAAAAAAAATAGCACTCTAAATCTCAGGATTATTATTTATTTTTAAAACAGATTATTTTAAGGAGTAAACAAGACTCAAAATGCTCTCATATGCTGTAAAATCAATATTAATCATTATGTAATGTTAATTTATTTCAATTCATTTGAATTTTTTAGTACTACCTTTTGAAGAATTAACGTTTACTTTATGCCCGGCAGACTGTAATTTGGGGTGGTTTTTACTAAATGGTGATTTCTTCAATAGATTATAGGTATCGGGGTTAATTCTTGCTAACACTTATCTCACACTGTCAGAAATCTTGTTAAGTTACATATATTATACAATTTGGTGTTCATTGTAATGTTACAGAGTTTCTGTTGTTTTACATACAAGAAAACTGAGTGTTAGAACAGCTAAATAACTTGCCAAGTCATGTGAGTAGCAAGCAGTAACACAGATCTGGATCCAAGTATTCTGTCTCTGAACCAGTGATCATAACCACTCACTAAAGTAACATTTTAACAAAGGGGTAGATTAAAAACAACAACAGAAAGAGAAGTCTCTTTATCAAATGATACCAGAGACTAGGCGAGGTGGTTTATGGCTTACGCCTATAATCCCAATATTTTGGGAGGCCAAGGCGGGAGGAATGCTTGAGCCCAGGAGTTTGAGGCAATCCTGGGCAGCATAGGGAGACTATGTCTCTACAAAAGAAAAAAAAAAAAAAATTAGCCGAGTGTGGTGGTATGTGCCTTAGTCCCAGCTACTTCAGAGGCTGACGTCAAAGGATCGCCTCAGCCCAGGAGGTAGAGGCTGCAGTGAATGAGCCATCATGCAACCACACTTCAGTCTGGGAAGCAGAGAGAGAACCTGACTTGAAAAAAAAGTACTAGGAAAACTGGATTGCCACACGACAAAGAAAAAAAGTAGTTGGACCTTGACGTCACATCGTATAAGATTAACTCAAAAAGACCACTGGCCCAAATGTAAGAGCTGACATCATAAAACAATTAGAATACAAGGAGTAAATCTTTATAATCTGGGATTTGGCAATAGAATCTTAACAGCACAAGGAACAAACGAAAAGGAAAAAAAAAAAACCAGATAAACTGGACTTCATGAAAGTTAAAAACTCCTGTACATCAAAGGGGGCTTTATCAAGTGAAAAGACAAGCCACAGAATAGGAGAAAATACCTGCAACTCATATATCTAAAAGAGTCTAGTATTTAGAAAGAATTTCTACAACTCAAGAACAAAAGACACCTAATCCAGTTTTAAAATGGGCAAAAGGCTTGAACAGACAGTCCTCTAAAGGAGATACACAAATGGCCAATAAACACATGAAAAAGATGCTCAACATCACCAGTCTTTAGGAAACTGAGACACCACTTCATATTCATTAGAATGGCTATAAGAATTTCTTAAAAAGGAAGATAACTAGGGCCAATGAAGCTGTAGAGACTGGTGCTCCTGTACCTTTTTTGTAGGAATGCAAAATGGTTTGGCCACTGTGCTTAACAGCTTGGTGATTCCTCAAATAGTTAAACATAAAATTACTGCATAGTACAGTAATTCCACTCCTAGATATTTACCCCAAATAACTGAAACAGATACTAAAACAAATACCTCTATAAGAAATGCTCATTTGACTACTAACATTAACCAGAAGGTAGAAACAGCCTGAATGACCATGAACAGATGAACATACAAATTTTGGTATATACATACTATGAAATATTATTTACCTACCAAAAGAAATGAAGTACTGATATATACTACAACATATATGAACCTCAAAAAACATTGTTAAGAGAGAAGGGGCCAGATAGAAAAGGTCAAAATTTAATATTACATTTATATGAAATATCTAGAATATAAGTAAAGTCATAGACAGAGAAAACAATTTGGAGTTGGCAGGGTAGGGAGACGGGAGAAGATAACTTTCTGTTTAATGAGTACAGGTTTTTATTCTGAAGTGATGAAAATGGTTTAGAACTAGATACAGGTAGTGGTTACACACCATTGTGAATGTCCTGAATGTCACTGAACTGTTCACTTTAAAATGATTAATATCATACAAATGTAACCACAATGAAAACAACAAAGCCAACACTTACTATCCTAAGGATAACTGTAGCTATTATATAATGATAGTTACAGTTATACTAATAGTTATTACAGTCATATAATTGATAAAATTCATTAATATAATTGCTGACTAAAAGTTAAAATGTCAGTTCAAATATGTTCCTACATATACCTGTTGCCCTCCCCCTTTGCCTACTGTTTTTCAGTGAAGTTATATGGTAGACACGAAATGCTTAGAATACACTGGGGAGGCACCTGACATGCTGTGTGAATACAGGAATAGGAAACCACAGCTCATGTATCTCAGAGATGAAAAGAGGAGGCTGGCCAGGCACGGTGGCTCAGTCTGTAATCCCAACACTTTGAGGGGCCAAGGCGAGAGGATTGCAGGAGCTTCGAGACCAACTAGCCTTGGCAACTTGGTAAGACCTTGTCTCTACAATAAATCTCACACACACACACACACACACACACACACACACACTAACTTAACTGTGTGTGGTGGCGTGCGTTTGTAGAGGATTGCCTGAACCCAGCAGGTCGAGGCTGCGGTGGCTGTGAGCACGCCACTGCACTCCAGTCTGGGCAACAAGATAAGACTCCAACTCAAAAAGAAAAAAAAGAAAAAGGAAAAGGGAACTTTCTCTCCCGCCACCAACTTTCTTCTTCTCACATGATAAGGACTGAATGGGAAACATATTATATATTTCATTGAAAAGAGAAGGATTAGGTATGCAAGTGATCAACACACAGGTAAAGTTTGGGCCTCCCTTTGCCTGGTTTGAGATCAGATACCCTTATTAAGGTTATGTCCAACCTCCCAACCCCTGCCACCGGCAGTTTCCTGCCACTGCCAATCACTTTCTTATTGGATTATGGTAAATGTTCAGGGTCTGCTTATGCGTGAGAACATGTGGTACCCAGTTCTTTGTTTCTGTGATAAATCACTGAGTCTAAGTATTATAGACTCAAGTTGCCACGACGTCCATAATTTTGTCCTTCTTTATGGCTACAGAATATTTCATTGTGCATATTTACCACATTTTTTTTATGCAGTCCAGTTTCAATGGGCAGCAAACCCTGAATTGTACTCCATATCTTTAAAATAAAATAAATTTTTGAAATATCAAATAAATATAGGCACATTTATAATATGAATTCAAATATATACATGAAAAATTATTACTACGCCATGGATCTAACTAGTTTAACAATTAAGAGAAAAAAGTATAAAGCTCAATTTAAATTTTTATTTGTTTGTCACACCATTCAAAGTGTTATTTTACTAAAATGTTAAGTTTTTCATGCCATCTGTGAATATTAAATGGTCAAATTATGGTGCATCAACCTGAAACTCCTGGGACACTCTTTCACCTCTCCAAAGTTAAATTTATTGGTTCACAATTCACACATACAGTGACACCACATTTTAGCTTTGAGTTTTACAGATATTTTTTAAAATAAAGAAAACAATGGAAAAAAAACTTAAAATGAAAAATGCGTCTGATGCTAACTACAGTAGAAGAAATAGCAAGAATTTAATAAAACTGGGAGTACTGTGCTATGTTAAGGCGTCTAGGTGGTTTGCCATAATTTATGTTTCTACCTCAACAAATACTGGTTTTTGTGGGAGGGGAAAAAGAGAGGAAGTAGATTTTCCACAGAAAAATAAACAGGGGGTGCCAAAAAAATGTGTATACATTTTAGGAGATGTTATCTATTACTTTTCAAAGTCGAATTCTGTTAGCAATGTGTAGCGTAACGTCTGCTCAACTCTCTTCCCCATTTTCTTTGACTGTTCTGCCTGTTGCATGGTGATGCTAGTAATCATTTGATTAATGTCACCTTTTGACGAGATGGCATAATCAAAATGTGTATGCAATTTTTTGGCACTCCTCGTATTTGGGAAATGTTGAAATTGAAAACAAAATTTAAATAGATTCCTTTGCCTTAAAACTTCTGAGAATGCTTAATATATAAATATGCACTGTCACACCTTAAGGGGAAAATATAAATAGATTATTTCCCAAATTTATTGAGCTAAGAATCCTTTTCAAGACGTGTATCTCTTAACATTTCCTACACCTGGGTGTTTCATTGAGTACCACTGGCTGCTATCCTGTTCTAAAGTAACAAGATGTATTAGTTGCTTGGGCTGCCATAACAAAGTATCACAGACTAGGTGGCTTAAGCAACAGAACTTTATTATTTCACAGTTCTGGAGGCTGGACGGCCACGATCAAGGAGGTAGCAGGTTTGATTCCTCTGGAGGCCTCTCTGCTTGCTTGCAGAAGGGTACCTGCTCGCTGTGTCCTCAGATGGGCTTTTCTCTGGGTGTCTTTCCTACGGGTCTTCCTCTTATAAGGAGAGCAGTCACATGGAATAAGG